GTTCATTGCGGCGGGTCCGCGGCGCGGGCGCGCCGCGCGACTTCGCTGGTTCAGCGAGGCGCGCAGTCGGCGTTCAGAGTGAACAGGTTGTTTTCAGGGCGATATCCTGGCGGCGCGCTGGCGCATTGCGCATTTGCGTATTCCTGGCGGGCTGTTTGAGGGCGACCCGGCAGCGTCGGCCGAATGGCCCGCAAATACCGCGCGGCCGATCGCGCGCCCCATGCGGCCACGTCGACCGCCGTGTGCCGCGACGGCCGCGCGCCCCGGACCGCGCCATTGCCGCGTTGGATTGGACGGCGCAGCGCCCGTCCTCCAAAAGTCGTTACATGCATATCGCGCGCGTCGAGCCAGCAGCAATCGCTCCCAAAAGCAGCCTTGACAGGCGCCCCATGCCCGTTGTCGCCCGGTTCTGATCCAAATCGTAGTTTCTTAGGATGCGCTTGCGCGAATGTGAGCGCGCGGGCAAGTAGCGCGCGCGCGCTTGGCGCAGCCTGGGAACTCCAACATGGAGCCCCCCGGGGGCGCGGGGCGCCGGCGACGCCTCCGCCCGCCTTCCGCGCGCCCGACCCCCCCCCGCAAGCTGACTCCTCCTAGTCTAAGCGTTCCCTCAACTTCCCGGCTTCGTTGCCCAAGTTGGCGGACGTCGCAAAACCGATCGCGGCGTCAACGACGGCCGCTGACAACGCGCGCTGCGTGCTCGAATCGCCGCCAACATGCTTGGTGGAAGACTCTGGTTTGACTTCGGATCTTTCTCAATCGAGAAGCCGAGCTCTGCGAGGGCGAGGAAATGGCGACCGTTTCGGGCGACGTTGCAGCCCGTCCAACAGTTGGCAATTGAATGAGACGTATTCTTGCGGCGTGAGATCGCTTTGTCCACCGGTCTAATTCCCGCGCTTCTGTAATTTGCGTTCGCGTAATCTGGATGGCCGGAAACGCGCGCGTTGCCGGTGGCTCACGCTACGCACGCGCGCGCGCGTTTTCTGCAGCGCGCGCCTGTCGGACGCGGGTTTTCCGTCAATTCATGCAGTGCCTCGGCGGAGTGTCTGGGAGAAGTATTGAATTGAAAACGCAGTCTCCGATGCGTTCGACTTCCCCTGGGCCTGCCCCCGACAGCTCGGCGTTGAGGTCGCCGGGCGCAACGCTGGCGTTGTGCGTCGTTGTCGCCCGCGCGGCGTCTTGCAGCCGCGCGCGAAGATCTTTGCCGCGCGTCGTCTCCGAAACCAGAGTGCGGCCCGCGTCCTGCGATGCATGCCGCCCCCCCCCCCCCCCCTCGGCGATGTTGACGCGCGGCGGGGCTATCCGATCGCCGCTGGTTCTGACGGCGACGATCGGATCCAGAACATTCGGCCCCACCACAAAGCCCATTCCAGTATCCAGTATATGTTCAGGCTGCGACATCAAGACCCCCAGAGAAGCACGGCGACGCGCCATTTCTATCCTGATATTTAGCCCCATTGCCAATTATGCCCATTACCTGGATGATCGAATCGCTTCGTATATCTTCTACGTTCCACGTTGCCACGCGGCGGGCGCAAACGGGCTTGCAACGTCGCCGATGCCGGGGCCGCGCGGAGGAATATCAAGAGGAAGACGATGAGGAGGAGGAGGAGGAGGAGGAGGAGGAGGAGGAGGGGGGGGAGGAGAGCGGTGATCCAATGCGTGCAGGATCGGGCCCAGGATTGGTATGTGATCCCACTCCAAGCGGGGTGTTGGGACATGATGGGTGAACAACTGGTGACAAATAACATGGCGATGTAGAAGATGAGGAAATGCGTATTTCAGGGATGGTCGCTTGTCCAACTCCGTCGCATGAATTTCTTATGGTGCGGGAGGGCGTGCGCGACGCGGGCGGAAACGAAGTGTTGCGGCGCCTTTGCCCGGGATACTTTTTGTCGCCAACTTGTCGTGCAACATATTTGCCAAATGCTCGGGCATTGGTGGCAGAAAAAATTCTAGGGGCAAGAGTCTTCCCCAGCGCCTGTCACCTATCCAACTTCACAGCGTTTTTGGATGCGCCGCTTGCTCCACCCTTCATCCCCAGAGTGCTTCTTTGCACAATGCCCTCACCTGCTTGGACCAGTTCCATGAAATGTGGGTTAAAGTGCAACGCCGTCCATGTACCCCAGTCGTTAGCCCAAGTCCGAGTAATACAATCTTAATCCAATGGTTGTGTACAAGGAAGCCCCCCACGAATTTCAACATAGTATGTGTTTTCATCGTGATCTATGTTTCACTCCATCTCCATTCTATTCTTTTCAGAATTCTTGTGACTGTTAAGCAGACATTACGAGCTGCCCGAATCAAAGGAGGACGGTCTGGCGATGCCCAGACATACTTTTCATTTCTTCGAAGATTGGCGTTCCGAAGTCGGACAATTGTGGCGTTTCGCTTTTCAGTGTTCCGGAACTCGCAGAATTCAATGATCCAGAATTCGCCTTCAATTTATATATATATATATATATATAGATATGTCCATGTTGGTGCCTACAATCGGTTAAGCTCGGATCTCAAATATTCAGAACTTCGAACGCCCATGGAGGACAGTGAATGATTATGGCATCGAAGAATTCTCCTGGGGCCGTCTTGAGAGCCTCTGGAAGAGCCCTGAAACCATCTTGGGCTGTCTTGGGGCCAATTCGGGTTGTCTTGGAGGCGCCTTGGTGGCCTTCTTGGGCCACTTTTACCTAACAGCGTAGACTGATAGGTTTCTAGTTGACTCAAAAGAGCTCACAGATCACTCCACAGGGGGGTCCGGGCAGGCGTTGGGAGTTGCCGGCCGGCAGGGTGCCGGGCCTGTGCCGGGCTCGTTTTTCACCAACAGTCACACACTTCGTGCTCGTCGACCTCTCAGAACCCCATTCCCAGGCCACATTCTGAATAACCGGATGCAACAGTCACACACTTGGTGCTCCTTGACCTCCCAGAACGCCATTCCCGGGCCACATTCGGAATAGCCGGACGCAACAGTCATACAATTCTTCGTACTTGACACCCCAGAACTCCATTCCCGGGCCACATTTTGAATGCCCGGAGCCAACTGTAGGCCACTTCGTGGTCTTCGAGTTCCCAGAACTCCATTCCCGGGCCACATTTTGGATGCCCGGAGCCAACTGTAGGCCACTTCGTGCTCTTGGACTTCCCAGAACTCCATTCCTGGGTATGATTTTGAATGCCCGGAGCAAACTGTAGGCCACTTCGTGTTCTTCGAGTTCCCAGAATTCCATTCCCTGGCCACATTTTGAATGCTGAGGCAGGCTGATGCTGAGGCTGAGGCAGGCTGAGGCAGGCTGAGGCTGAGGCCGAAGCTGAAGGCAGACTCAGGCTGAGGCTGATGCAGGCTGAGGCTGAGGCTGAAGCAGGCTGAGGCTGATGCAGGCTGAGGCTGAGGCAGGCTGAGGCTGAGGCTGAGGCTGATGCAGGCTGAGGCTGAGGCAGGCTGAGGCTGAGGCTGAGGCCGAGGCTGAAGGCAGACTGAGGCTGAGGCTGAAGCAGGCTGAGGCTGAGGCTGAGGCTGAGGCTGAGGCTGGCTGAGGCTGAGGCAGGCTGATGCTGAGGCAGGCTGAGGCTGAGGCTGAGGCTGATGCAGGCTGAGGCTGAGGCAGGCTGAGGCTGAGGCCGAGGCTGAAGGCAGACTGAGGCTGAGGCTGAAGCAGGCTGAGGCTGAGGCTGAGGCAGGCTGAGGCTGAGGCTGAGGCAGGCTGAGGCTGAGGCTGAGGCTGAGGCTGAGGCTGAGGCTGATGCAGGCTGAGGCAGAGGCAGGCTGAGACTGAAGCCGAGGCTGAAGGCAGATTGAGGCTGAGGCTGAGGCAGAGGCAGGCTGAGGCTGCGGCTGAGGCAGGCTGATGCTGAGGCAGGCTGAGGCTGAGGCTGAGGCTGATGCAGGCCGAGGCTGAGGCAGGCTGAGGCTGAGGCCGAGGCTGAAGGCAGACTGAGGCTGAGGCTGAAGCTGAGGCTGCAGGCTGAGGCTGAGGCTGAGGCTGAGGCTGAGGCAGGCTGAGGCTGAGGCTGAGGCTGAGGCTGAGGCTGCAGAGGCTGAGGCCGAGGCTGAAGGGACTGAGGCTGAGGCTGAAGCAGGCTGAGGCTGAGGCTGAGGCAGGCTGAGGCTGAGGCTGAGGCAGGCTGATGAGGCTGAGGCAGGCTGAGGCTGAGGCTGAGGCTGATGCAGGCTGAGGCTGAGGCAGGCTGAGGCTGAGGCAGGCTGAGGCTGAGGCTGAGGCTGAGGCCAGGCTGAGGCAGGCTGAGGCTGAGGCTGAGGCCTGAGGCTGAGGCTGAGGCAGGCTGAGGCTGAGGCTGAGGCTGCTGAGGCTGAGGCTGAGGCAGGCTGAGGCTGAGGCTGAGGCTGATGCAGGCTGAGGCTGAGGCAGGCTGAGGCTGAGGCCGAGGCTGAAGGCAGAGGCTGAGGCTGAGGCTGAGGCTGAAGCAGGCTGAGGCTGAGGCTGAGGCTGAGGCTGAGGCTGAGGCTGAGGCTGAGGCTGGCTGATGCTGAGGCAGGCTGAGGCTGAGGCTGAGGCTGAGGCAGGCTCAGGCTGAGGCAGGCTGAGGCTGAGGCCGAGGCTGCAGGCAGACTGAGGCTGATGCAGGAGCAGGCTGAGGCTGAGGCTGAGGCAGGCTGAAGCTGAGGCTGAGGCTGATGCTGAGGCAGGCTGAGGCTGAGGCTGAGGCTAATGCAGGCCACTGCGACTGTCATCGCGAATGCGACTACGACTGCGAGAACAGCAGAACTCTACAACTGGATTCTCATCTGAATCTTAAGGGGGATGCTTCCAGATATGCTCCTACACATCGCTGTTAGGTTGCTTTGCCGGGATAATGAAACCATCATGGTCGTTCTCGACTCCTTGGGGAGCGCCGGGGGCGTGTCTGGACGCCGACAGAGCTTCGGGGAGGGGGGGCGACGCGCGCGGGCCAGCGTTTCCAAGAGAGGGGTGGCGGCCCCTAGAAGATTACAAAATCTTTGCCAGACAGCACTTGGCATTCCAGCGCGCCCCAACGTGCCGCAGGGCATTGGCGGATTCGTGTGTGTGTGCGTGTGTGTATTGGGCCCTTGCTGGTCACGTGCGGCATCGTCGCCCAGTTCTTGTGGAAGCAACGGCCACCGAGTCAGTTCCGGGTCTTGCGCCTGCACGCCGGCGTTGAACGTTTCGCCGAGGATCCCTGGGCTCAGCGCGAATGCCGATGGTCGCCGATTGCTTGCTCCGCGACCGCCAGGCGCTTCCGGCTGTCAACGGGCGCGCACCAGGGGGCGAAGTGGTGGCCCTGGCGCGCGCCTCGCGAGCTGGGGGCGGCTAGGCGCCCCCCGTCCGCACTCGGAACCGGCGGTCCAGAGGCGGCCACGAGGTGCGGGTGGAAAAGGGTCGGCTTGTGTTTCGTCACGGAGTTGCTCGGACTCGGAGCCGTCTAGGGGCCTGGGGTGGCCCAGCATTAGTTCTGGGCAGCAGGAGCGGCGGGCAGGTTCACGTTCGAGGATTTTGTTTCAGGACGGGTTTTGGCTTCCTTAAGTCGTTGGGGGCCATTTTCGAGACCGTCAGAATCGGATCGGGAGCGAACAGTTGCACCTGATGGATCCCAGAGAGGGTCTGGGGACCTCCTTTGAGCGGATTTGACCTCATCCCCCGATTTTCCAGTGTCCCAATCGACCCCCAATTGCCGACTGATCGCCGACACGGGCCCGATAGCCCGCAGCGCCCAGGAGTTTTTTTCTTCGGATTTGCTATGAGGGACAAATCGCCGATGTATCGGCGATGCACAGCCGATTCCAAGTCGATGTTTCCTCCCGTGTGAGCTGGTCCCTGGTATCGTTGACATTCAACAAATGCAGAAGTCAGCAATCGGAGCTGGAAATTCAATTGAGCCACCAGCGCGCATCATTTGGATTTCCACAGCTACAGTTTAATGCAATGTTTTCGCAGCCTGACCGCGGGCAGGGCCATCAGGGTGAGCCGCTCGCACCACGGAACACGTATAGACTGCAACGTTTGTATGGTGATGCAGTGTGCACACACTGCCACGCGACGATACGGTCGTGAACTTTTGGGTAGCGTGTTGTGCCGCCAGTTCTCGCCCACAACGCTATGGCGCGACACGGCATCCGCGTCCCAGACCCCGACCGTCAACATCCCGAGCTTGTCCGAGCCTCCCGCCCCGCGGAGCGGAGCGACATGCGATCCGTTCGCATGGCAGTGGGCGCTATGTAGGCCATCTTTTGGGGCCTTGCTTGGGGCCTCTTGGAGGCCATATCTTAGGTCCTTCGGGCCATCGTGGGGCCTTCTTGGGGGGTCCGTGCGCTGTTTCGGAGCACTCTTTGCCTGTATTGGAGCCGTCTTGGGGTCGTCTTCGGGGCCGTTCTTGAGCTGTCTGGGAGACTGCTGGGCTGTCGGGGGGCCCTCCAGATGGATGTCCTATGCAGCGATCCCTTTTCTCGACTGGGGAGGGTTCTAGATGCCCGGCGGGATCCCCGCCTACTTACAAAGGCTGACTTGTCAATATTATCTGAACGGGTTGACCGGCGGCCAGATCCCTGCTAAGGCCCAACAGAGGGCTTGAGTGGGCCGGCCGAAATGAGTGTGGGGATGGTGCGGGGAGGTGAAGTGCGTAGTTTTCTTTGCATTGTTTTCATTTCCTCCTCCTTTTTAGTGTTTTTCGCTTTCCCCCCCATGCTCGCGTTGAACTTGGATTGGAGGGCGGGCCGCGATTGGTCGCGGAAAGAAAGCCTGGAGAGGACGCACCGTATTTTCTACCTCCTGCCTTTCTCTTGCTTAACTTCTCGTCCGTTCTGTCCCTCTCCTCCCTGGCTTTCGTGGGGGAGGGTTCCTTTGAAGCTCCAGGCACAGTCTCCGTGAAGACCGCTCAGCTGTTCGACATCGTGCGGGAGGGGTGCGCTCTGGAGGACAGTAGATGAGGAGGGGGAGGATGGTGTGATGAAGAGCTTCTCCAGAGCCGTAGTTCCCATCTCCTCCATGCTTTCTTCTTCTCCCATCTCCTTTTTGCCTACCCGCTCCTCCCTGCTTCTTCCTTTCCTTCTCCTTTTTCCATCCTCCGTCCATCCCTCCGCTCTTTCTCCTCCCTCCATCTTCCCTCCCCCTTCTCTCCCCCTCCTCCCTCCTTCCTCTCTCCATCTCTCCCTCTCTCTCTCTCTGTCTCTGCCTCTGTCTCTGCCTCAGTCTCTGCCTCTGTCTCAGTCTCTGTCTCTCGCTCTCTCTCTCTCTCTGTCTCCCTCGTCCTCTCCCCCTCTCTTTTCCTCTCCCGCTCCCTCTCTCCCTTCTCCTCTCAAGGTGGGCCACCACAGTGCCCGATCCCCCTCTCCTTTTCCTCCTCCTCCTCCTCCTCCTTCTCCTCCTTCTCCTCCTCCTCCTCCTTGTGACCCTGGCTTAGGCGAGCAGTGGCCGTCGCTCCTTCGGGATGTGAGCCAGCAATGTGCAGTGTGCAGCAGCAAACGAGAGTAATGATGTGTAGTAGTATTGTGAAGTAGACGACTAGCCCTAAAGGGCACATATAAGCGGCTCGACATGTAGTTCGAAGTAAAACCGCTGATGAGCCATAAACATGGGGAGGACATCGAGCGTGAGAATGCGCGAACAACTTCTTTGGCTGCAGCAGTAATGTGCGGGGTGAGAGCAGTAGGGGGTGAGATCTGGAGGGCGACAGAGGGCAAAGGAGAGAGAGAGAGAGAGATGAGTAGCATTGCAACTGCACAGAGAGGGCAGACGGGCAAGTAAGAGACTAACTTCAATTGAATACCGCAGCACGTGGATTGGATTCGTGAGATCTCCTGCCTCTGCTGCACCTTTGCTTGCTCTCCGCTTCCCCCTCGTGCCCCTCCCCCTGGGATGAGGGTGTCCTTCACCTGCCGATTGGCAATTTGTGGATGAGTGGCTGAATCCATTGGGCCGTGCTGTTTTCATCCGTGTCACTCTGGTGGCTGTGAGAGCAGTGGTGCAGAATGGATGCCACGCCCGACAATGAGGCCAGAGTAGCACAACATGTAGCCCAGATCCCTTTTGTGACGCGAGACGGAGCGACTACTGGCTTGCCGTCGATGGTTGCACTGGCAGAGCCTTCTCCTCTTCCTTCCTCCTCCTCCTTCCCCTTCCCTTTCCTCTTTGCTGCCTGGGCCTGTGATACCCCACACCGCTCTCGCAGCGAAAGGGGGGCAGGGTACCACTTTCGGGGCCCGAGAACCACGCGTGGGGCCCGAACGAAAAGGCGGGGGGGCTCTCCGACGGCGGCGGGGGCCCAAGGCTTGGGCCGCAGCCAAGCCCCCCCCCCCGCCTCGCGGCCTGTGGACGGGGGAAGCGGGCGAGGCAGCAGAAAAAGGAGGAGGAGGAGGAGAGGAGGAGGAGGTGGAGAAGGAGAAAGGAGGAGGAGGAGGAGGAGGAAGGAGGAGGAGGAGAGGAGAGGAGAGGAGAGGAGAGGAGAGGAGAGGAGAGGAGACGAGAGGAGAGAAGAGGAGAGGAGAGGAGAGGAGAGGAGAGGAGAGGAGGAGGAGGAGGAGGAGGAGGAGGAGGAGGAGGAGGAGGAGGAGGAGGAGGAGGAGAGGAAGGGAACATCGGGCGATCGCAGACATGGACTGAGGGGGCGCGGATCGGCGACGGGTCCCGTTTCCATGGGAGGTCGTGGGCTTCGCCGCCGAGCGAGGCGGCGCCGGCCGCAGTTTGGGGAGGCGCCAATCTCTGGACGCCCGAAATGGGTACCGAAAGAATGGGCACAATGCCCAACAGCAGTTCCTGTTCATTTTGAACAGGCCTCGCTGTCCACGCCGCCGCGGCCTGTGTCCATTCGAGACTGGAGGCCGCCTGCCCAACAGCGGCCGCTGTTGGTTTGGGACAACATTTGTTGTTGGGCATCGTACCCATTTTTTCGGTACCCATGTCGGGCGTCCAAACAATCCATGTTTGCGCGCCCCCGAGAAAAGGGAAAGAGGAACCGTCCACAGGCCGCCCGGCAGGCAGGAGGGGGCAGGCCCAAGAGACAGCCCGAGGGCCATTCTCCCGCCGAGACCCGCATGGGCCTAGGTCGGCAGGGACGTACACCTGAGTGCGAGATCCCTGCGGGACGAAAGAACACACACCATAATACAGGTGCTTGCAGCAGCTCTTGAGCTCAACACCGCAAGCCTTAGTAGTGCGGATGCTCGTCTTTGAACAGAGCCCCCCAGCCTTCCGAGACCCGCGCCCCAGGAGACCAAAACGGAGAGAGGCGCCCCAGCGGGCCCCTGGGCCAGGGAAGGCGACCGTTTCTGAGCAGGTGCGCCTGTTTCTTCTTGACATTTGCGCAGCCACCCACGAGGTCCTTGGGGTGGCGGCCTGACGTGTAGCTGCCACATCCGCTGCAGAGCCAGATCCCCTGCCCAGTGGCCAGGCCCTGGCCATTCTGCAGGAGTGGGGAGGGGGGGGAGGGGGGGGGCAGGAGGGCAGAGCAGGGAGCGGAGGGAGGGGGCGAAGGGGGCCACGGGCTGACCTCTCGGCCGCAGTTTGCAGGCCGAAACGCACGGACACACTCGAAGCACTGCCAACGGTTGCCCATCCATCTCGTCTTGTGGGCAAGGTACTTTGGATCGCTTAATAATCGCCCCCGCCCTTGGAGTGCCCGGGGGGGGTTGGCCGCGGCGCGTCCGCGGGGGTGCCAAGGGGGGTCTGGGGTTCGTTCCCTTCCTGCTGGGGCGCGGGGGTGGTGCCGGGGGGGTTGGCCGCGCCGCGTTTTCACGTTAGTCCCCCTGGTTGATTGATAAGAAGTTCGGAGTACACGTGTGCAAAGATTGCTGGCTTGGCTCTCGGTGCTTTGCCAAGCTCTCCAAAGAATTCTCTGGCTGGGGGCCACGCCTCCAACACCCCGGCAGCAGCGTCGGCAACTTGGTTCCACGGTTTGAGCTGAGCGGTGATGGTGGCACCATTCTGGGGGGATCTGAAACAACCTGCAGTCTCGTTAATTCTAACATCGGCCCAGTTGTTGCCCCTGGTCTTCCACCTGGGTTGTTCAATTGAGTCATCATTAAGATGGGCCTTGACCTTATGGATGGTCCAGGCTCTTAGGGATACATTTTTAATTCTACGCCAATGGACACTCTGGGCAGTCTTTCCTCTCGAGGCCCTCAACACGTCCTTGGAGCCCCAGGTGAGCGCAGAACAATCGACGAACGCGTGCAAGTCCTCAACCTCCTCGGGGGTTGGGTCCTGTTCCTGGTGCTCAATCGTATGCATCACACCGTGGTGCTGTTTGGGGAAGCCCGCGAGCAATGGACCCCATCATACCCCTGCTGAAATTGCCATCGTCGTCCACCTCGACAGCCGCCCAGCCTCCACGGGCCATCACAGCCGTCTTGGGGTCCCAGACCGCAGCACCATGGGGGCAAACCCACAAATTGTGCTACAGAGAGTCAATGGCAGAGCAACAGGTACAGTAAGG